GCTCACCAGAAGGAGTGAACCAAGTGGCCACTGAACCCAATAACAGTACAGTGGCCAAGATTGGCAGCCTGGCCCTCCAGCTGTGATGGATCTGACCAGGAGGGCCAGGCTGCATATCTTGGCCACTGTATAAACTGGTAGTTGGCATCAATGTTATTGGGTTCAGTGGCCACTTGGTTCACTCCTTCTGGTGAGCTGGAAGAGTTTCCCATGACTGCAGTGAGCTATTGGATGGGTCTCTGACTTGCTGCCTAAGCACTGGAATGGCTATGGTTGATATAAGAAAAAATCAATCATGGATATGGTGGACATTTAGAAAAAAAAACTGTTAGAAGGCTTCAAATTTGGAGAATAAAACCTTCAGAAAATCATGGTATAGTACCTTGTTTTGAAATTGGAATAGCTGCATTGTGGTACTGGTGTGGTGGTACTACTGCCTGGCATGGCATGGGAAGCCATAGAGGCCTTTGCAACCAATAAAACTGGAAACCATGGGAAGCCAACAGGCTACCTTTGAAACAGTATACATGGGAAAAACCATGGACAAGATGGCTTACTTTCATTACTGCACCTTTTGCACACACATTCTGCATGGCCAGGGTCTAGCACTGGTCTTGCCAAAAAAATGCATTGGTTAAAAAAAAACACAATGGCATATATATATATATTTATTTATTTATTTATATTTATATTTATATTTATTTATATTTATATTCATATTTATATTTATATTTATATTCATATTTATATTTATATATGGTACATGCCCTCTCACTTGGCCTTCATGGCTCTCATGGTGGTGCTGGTCTTCATGGCTTTCATGGCTGGCATGGCCTTCATGCCCTTAATTAACTTCATGGCCTCCATTGCCTTCTGGGCCTTCATGGCCTTCTAGGCCTTCATCTTGGTCTTCCTGGGCTGGTGGTGGGCCCTAGCAAAGGTTTTGTAGCAGATGTGGTGGTCTCCTGGGTGGTAGCCCCTGCCTGGAAACAGCACCATGTGGGAAGCAAAAAAGTGGTGGCACATGTCTATTTGGGAAAAATGCTGTATGGATTAAAATTGCCTTTGGGCATAGATCTGGTTCTGGAAAATCACCTGCATGGAGCATCCCCCATGGCTTGTCATCCCAGCTGGCTAAGACCATGGATCCACCTGGGGCCTGGCTAGCCTCAGCCAAACAGGATGTGAACTGAAACTAATTGGCTGTAAAACAGCAAGGTGCCACATTGGTGCCAAGGAACCATGTTTGGCACCCATTGGTCCACACCAGGAGTTTATACCTCCTGGTATCATTTTTTCTATCCTCTTTCTTCTTGGCTTGTGGCACTGGCCCTGTTCATGGCTTGGGCCTGGGCAGCAGTTATGGCACTGGCACATGGCTGCCATGCTCTATACATGGGTAGCCATGAAGGCTTTTGGTGCATGGCTGACATGGACAGTGAATCAGTTTGACAATGTATGGCTGCATTGGCTTTGTGCTGTGCACATTTGCCACAGTAGCAGCATAAGCAAGCATTTTATTCAGCTGGAAATTAAACTATACTACTGAAATTATATACTAAACTATGTGGCATTCCCTTTCTGGCCCTTAGCCTTTGCCTTTGCCTCAGCTTCTGGTGGCCCATCATTGGTGGCCATGTTGTAAAGCAATGGCTGGTCCTTGTCAATAGGCGCATCATTGGTCAAAATTGAAATGTTAATGGTCAGGTGGGAGATGGGTAGGTTGGCATCACCCTGGTCTTTGGTCTGCCTGCACCACCAAAATGGCACCAATGAACAATCTGGATTGGGAAACTCATGGGCAATATTGTTTCCATGGCTGGAATTGCCACTGGTGGATAAAAGCTAACCATGGCATTGGTGACCCTTTAGCCTTGGTGTGGACAATGTTGGCTAATGGCATCAATTTCAATTGATGTTTCCTTGCAACCATGGCTTAGGTAGCATCTTTTCCAGTTTTGCCAGCATTTTTCAGATGCCATCTGTGTCAACTTTGGTGGCTTGGGCCTCTTCAAACACATTTTGGGACACAGCCATGGCAATTGCAGATCAATGGCATGGCGAATTGAATTTGGTTTAGGCCTAGGATGAACCATGGGACGTATGTGGTACAAAAAATGCACAAATATTTCTTGCCATGGGGAGCCATTTGCTTGGCTTTGGGACATGAATGGCAAACTGAGAGCTTCACCTATGCTGGCAGCAAACTGACTGTATGGGTAGCCATAAAGGGTTTGGCTGCAGCTCTTTTCTTCCATTTCCCTTAATTGGTATGCTACAACCTGCCTCACTTCTTGGTCTTGTGGGATTTGGTGGGCTGCTCCAAAGCAGTGGTAGTGCCTGGTCTCAAGTGGCAAATCACTGGGTCCAAGTGCTCTGGCTCCAGCAGAACTGCAAGATCAGATCTGGCTGGCCTCTTGCCAGATACCAGGCAATCCGCAAGTTTGTCACCCACAGTGATGGTCACCACACATGGGGATGGTGCAGCAATCCTTTTTTTCTTGGCTGGTGGATCTGCTTCCTGCTGGTCAAACAAATTATTGTTTCCATCACCTGGATCTTCACAATGGACTTTCTTGATCTCTTCGTTTCTGGCTTCAATGAGTTGCCCCAATGGCTCCAGCTGTGACAAGCTGGCATTCCTCTTTGGCTGCCCACCATGGAGAAGCCAAATAACTGGCTGGGATGTTGGTCTCACTTTGAGATACTTCTGACCTTCATGGTTCAAAATGAGGCTATGTGGGATGAGCACTGGCTTCTCCTCTTGGTACTGAATTTCAATGGCTTCCTTGATGGAGACCATGGCTGAACCAGTTGTATAGGATGGCAGGAGATTGGCACACCAATTGGTTTGAACAACTTGGCTGTCTCAAAGAAAAATAATGCAATGCATGGCATGGGCAGCCAATAAGCTTTCGATTTGTTTGCCATGATGTTGCCCCTATAAATTTCATTCTTGTTTGAAAGAAAAAGCAAGAAAAAAAACATTCTGTTAAAATCAAAACTTGCTACCAAACACAAAGGGCCTTTCCACATAAATGAATTATATCATGTTTTTTCCAATTTTTTTCCTTTTGCTTCAAAGTTTGTTGCAGTCTGGGTCAAAATTTTACTTTTTCTAAACCATATTTTTGATATAGCTAACTCTGCTAACTTTGCTAAATATTTAGGGAAGTTAAGTTGAGTTAGCTAAATAAATAAATATGATACTAACTTATGTTAACTTAACATAACACTTATACTTAGTTGTACATAGTTACAACATAGTTAACACATAGTTACAACATAGTTAACACATAGTTAGAAGTAGTTGCTAACAATGATTAACTAACATAACTTCCATAACTAGTTATAACAAAACCAGGATTTCAAGCATGATCCGAGAATGATCCGACCACACACGAGACCGTCTCGCAACCGTCGCACCGCAGAGGTAGATCATCGAGGTTCGGGGACGGACTTTGTATGGAAAAACATAGGGTTTCGTGCATCTGCTATCTCTCAAAAACGCATTTCGTGCGAGACTTCCTTCAAAACTCCATCGGCAACTCCTCCACCAGCACCACTTGCAATCCCATTTACAGTGAGGGAACAATTTCTTTGACTAACTCTTTCTGTGACTAACTCTTTCCCTCACTAACTCTTTCTTTGACTAACTCTTTCCCTGACTAACTGTTTCTTTGCTAACTCTTTCTTTGACTACCTCTTTCCCTCACTAACTCTTTCTTTGACTAACTCTTTCCCTGACTAACTCTTTCTTTGACTAACTCTTTCCCTGACTAACTGTTTCTTTGCTAACTCTTTCTTTGACTAACTCGTTCCCTCACTAACTCTTTCTTTGACTAACTCTTTCCCTGACTAACTCTTTCTTTCCCTGACTAACTGTTTCTTTGCTAACTCTTTCTTTGACTAACTCTTTCCCTCACTAACTCTTTCTTTGACTAACTCTTTCCCTGACTAACTGTTTCTTTGACTAACTCTTTCTTTGACTAACTCTTTCCCTGACGAACTCTTTCTTTGCTAACTCTTTCTGTGACTAACTCTTTCCCTCATTAACTCTTTCTTTGACTAACTCTTTCCCTGACTAACTGTTTCTTTGCTAACTCTTTCCCTGACAAACTGTTTCTTTGACTAACTCTTTCTTTGACTAACTCTTTCCCTGACGAACTCTTTCTTTGCTAACTCTTTCTGTGACTAACTCTTTCCCTCACTAACTCTTTAACTCTTTCCCTGACTAACTGTTTCTTTGCTAACTCTTTCTTTGACTAACTCTTTCCCTCACTAACTCTTTCTTTGACTAACTCTTTCCTTGACTAACTGTTTCTTTGCTAACTCTTTCTTTGACTAACTCTTTCCCTCACTAACTCTTTCTTTGACTAACTCTTTCCCTGACTAACTGTTTCTTTGACTAACTCTTTCTTTGACTAACTCTTTCCCTGACGAACTCTTTCTTTGCTAACTCTTTCTGTGACTAACTCTTTCCCTTAACTCTTTCTTTGACTAACTCTTTCTTTGACTAACTCTTTCCCTCACTAACTCTTTCTTTGACTAACTCTTTCCCTCACTAACTCTTTCTTTGACTAACTCTTTTGACTAACTCTTTCTTTGACTAACTCTTTCCCTGACGAACTCTTTCTTTGCTAACTCTTTCTTTGACTAACTCTTTCCCTGACATTCTAAAAGTCCGTAACACGGAAGTTTCTCCCCCTAAACTTCCTTTGATAATCCTCAGCCGCGGATCAAGTATCCGCATTTCGCGAGGGCTGCGTGGCGGATTGTATTTCAAGTCGGGATAAATCAGAAATGTTCAAAAAACCACCAACTTTTTGTTGAAACAACAATGTTGACCCCTAATGTCAACCCCGGATCAATAATAAACTGTGACGTGTGCCCCCCAGCTGATCCGCGATCCTCCATGTGATTTATATGAAACCTGTCAGGAACCTAAGGGGAGCGGGGTGCAGCAGCTACCAGCAGCTAGTCAAGAGGAAACTTTTGTC